GGGGAAAAGAAGAGAGAAGGCGGAGAAGCAGGTAAAGAAAAGGGAGGAAAGTTGGAGGGAGACTAGGAGTGAAAGGAGGAGAGAGAGGAGAGGAGAGGAGACAGCAGGAGAGGAGAGGGCAGGAGAGGAGCTAACAAGGTGAAATACGTGAATCTAGATTGCATTTTTATTTGAATGACATCTGGGAAGGATTTGAAAATTAGTATGTGTTGCCGGGCATGATGGTACATCCTATAATTCTAGCACTCAGGAGGCTGAGGCAGGAGGATAGCTGAGAGTTTGAGGCCAGCCAGGATTACACATAGTGAGCACAAGGCTAACTGGAACTACATAGCAAGACCTTGTCTCAAAATAAGAATTAAGATGTCTTTTGCACATGTATCAACTCATGAAGAATGTAATTATATACAGCAAACATGCCTTAATAAACATTTAAAAAGGAAAAGGTAAGGTAAGTGGAAAAAGTGACAAGATTGAATGGATGTGATTGAAAAGAGAACCAAAAAAAAAAAAAAAAAAAAAAAAAAACACCCTGATTCATGCATACACAGAACTTTGATCTGGGATACAAATAGATTTTCAAATGAATCTGAGAGGGAAGTACAAATCAATAAGTGACCAGGAAAAATTATCACTACAGAAGGAAACTAAATTGTATCATTTCTCATACCGTAAATGAGTTAGCTCCAGCAAGACTTAATTTTCAAAAGCAAAGATTTAAACTTTTAGTAAAACGTAAATTTCTCAAATCGTACATAACAGTAGCTACCATAATGTCACTTTTCTTTGAAATAGTTGAGCACACCTTTACATACAATAATATCAAACATAACGAAATGGTATAAAACCATTTAAAAGAATGAAAGCATTACAGGACTTCAAACCAATAACAGGAAATGAACAATGGCTACTGTAATATATGTTGTATCAACTTGAGAGGTTTAGAAATTTAAGTAAGAGACTCAACAGGGAACCAAGATCATTACTTTGTAAATATCCTCATCCTGTGTAAGAGGAAGGCACGGAGATTTTGGGAGTGCTTCATCTGCCCTAGGGGGTGGGATGTGTGTGTCAGCTTGCAGTGTGAGGGAGGAAAAGAGGCTTGATCTTCCCGCCTTTTTTGCTCTTGCTATTTTAGTTGGCTGCTGCCTTGAAGTGTGGCCCTGGTGTCATACCACCTTGCCTTGGAGCCAGCTGATTACGGACTGAAACCTCCACAATCTGTGAGCTAAATAAACCTTTCCTTACTTCATTTTGGGTATTGGGTATTTTGTTCCAGCAATGAGAAAAAAGTAACTAAGACACAGTATCTCTTCACTTATTTATATGTTTTTCATGTTTCTGAAAAACTAACTGTGATTTTCCCAAAAAGTCTTGCTTAACTTTTGTTAACAATAATGGTAGATTCTTTATATTTTTTGCTATCATTGTAAATTTATCAGACAATGAGGATTAACTGTCAGAGAAAAGTACAATTAGCCTAATAAGCCACAGGATGGAGCTATAAACACAATAATTTGATTTACTGAGACCTATGACTATGAATAATCTAATCAACATTTCTGTTTCTAGGGCTAAACTAGACAGGTAGACTATGAAGATGTCATTTGAGGTAGGTCAGTTTTCAAGGTGTCTACCACTGAGGAGGAGATCAATGTTGTGAAAATGTGTTAGAAATGTAAATTGTAAATCGTGTTTCAAACCTATTAATAATCCCTTAGAATGGGGCCTGGCAAGCTTTAACAAATCCTCCAGGTGGTTATGGTACACACTAAAGTTGGAGAACTCAATATAAGTGGAAAAATCGACTGACTGATGTAGAGTAGAATGATGATTACCACCAGAGGCAGAGGGTAGGAGAAACAGAGAGACATGAGTGAAAGGTACAAGCTTACAGTTAGACATGTTTTTGAGATCATTGTTAATAACAATGTTGGGAACAATAGCTAATAATAATGTATTATGTACTGTGTCAAAATACCACATTGTACCCCCAAAAATGAACATAACTTTTCAATTTAAAAATAGTAAAATTTAAACACTGTCTGAAAAGAGCAAACAAAAATCAAATAACTATAAGAGAATTCAAAAAATATTGTTAGTTTGAATGGGGGGGGGAACAAATTGATTTCATTACTAGTTTGAGTATTTCCCTGCCAACTCTCCTTGAGATGTGCTATGTACATGTACCAATTTCCACAATAAATGTAATCATTATGTACTACAGACATTTATAAATAAAAATGTAAAAATAAATAAAATTAGAGCTGAGAAATTCCTCTTTCATGTAATGAATTTCCACAAATACAAAGATATCCCTGTAGATATTTTGCTTTATTCCATTAGACTATTTATTTATATCTGTACCAACAACATAGCACATGAATTATTATTACCATATTTAGATACCTTCTCTAGTTAGTCTCTATTCTTTAAAAAAATTTATTGGCAAAAAAATTTATTGACTTCTCTGAAATTTATTCTAATACATTAACTGTAAGATCATTTTTTCAGCTTGTTTCAAAAGTCATACTGGGCTTTTTTTTGCAGTTATATTGTATTTATAAATGACTTTAAAGAATTGTCATTTTTATTTTATTGAGTCTTCCCAAGCATAAACATTGTTTTTCCATTTATTCAGGTCTCCTTTTAGCCCTTGGATACATTTTTTGTAATACTTGAAGAGCTGGTATAATTTTTAGGTTTATTGACAAGTATTTCACAGGATTTGTTTCTCTCATAGTTTACATCTACCTCTGTTATTTCTGATTGGTGAAAGATAAAGTGTAGAAGTGTTATAGAATTTTATGTAAGCCTTATATGAGCAAATTTTGTTAGTCTTATCTACCAGTGTTATAGAATATTATAAATCATCACATAAAAATGACACTATCTGCATATCATGGCTATTTTACAGCTCCCTTCCCAGTCTTACACATCTCATTGCTTCTCCTATTGCACTGTTTTATATATTTCATACATTGTTAGAAAACACCACTGATTCTTACTGTTTCTTCAGCTCCAACGTCTCTAAAAATTCAATATAATGCAGGTTTTTTGTTGTTTTGTTTTATTTTATTGAAATAAATAAATTTTATTTCTGTCCCATTTCATGTGCATTTATTCCCAGTGCTCTGTGATAGATACATAGTCCTTTGATACTGCAGAGGTGTTTCTTTCTCCCAGTACTGGAGATTGGCTTCATTTTTATGTATTTCCTTTTGTGTTACTTATCAAACCAGGGCCTGCACAGATGCAGCACACTTCTTAGCTACACTTCAGCCTCTTAAGTTTTACAAGACTCACAGTCAAATAAGCCACCAATGACAGAAACTACTGTAGCTTCTTCTTATAATTACAACGGATAAAGATATACGAATGAATAAGTTTGAATGCATCATACTGAAGATTGATTGTTTTCACTTAATTATGTGTCTTCAAGATCTTGCTGTTTCATGGGTTTTTTTGGAGACAGAGTCTTACTATATAGGTTTCTCTACAGCTTCATGGAGGTTTTCTTTTTGTCTGTGTGTAGATTCATTTCTATTATTAATTGTAACAAAGAGTTTACATTTACATTGAACTTTACAAAATTCATATTGAACTTTATAAAACCCTGATGAATTCTAATTTTTAATATTTTATTTAGAATCATCACAACTATGTTCACAGAAGAAGATACATGTTCATAATTAACTTTTCTACTGCCCATATTTGTGGTAAAAATTTTTTTGCCTATATTCATTCATTGCTACATAAGAAATTGCCCCAACACTTAACACCTTGAAACCATAAGTATTATCTCACAGTTTAAGGGTCAGGAACACAGAAGCAACTTAGCTTGATTGATCTGGGGGAGGGTTTCCCATGTGGTCAAGGCAGCTCTCTGCTGGTAATACGTCATTTCCGATTAGAGTGGATCTGAAATATATCCTTCCAAACTCATTCATGTGTTTGCTAGTAGCCCTCAGGTCCTCACATACTGCTGGCTATTGCACTTGTCCCTGGGAGCCACTCCTCAGATCAGTGTCCTCCAAACATGGCAACTAAATTCCCTTAGAGCAAGAAATGCCAGAGGATGGATCTCCAAATGGAAGCGGCAGTCTTTTATCACATAATATCATAAAGATACCATCACATTTGCAATATTTTGTTGGTCACACAGTAGACAAGGAAAGAATATGCATATTGGAGGGAAGGTATAAAGACCAAGTGTGAGATAACTGGGAACCAGCTTGGAGGGTGGTTACCTCAACCACAGAATCAATAGAACGGTTCTCCCTCTTTTTTAGTTTTCTATCAAATAGTTAATTTGATACAACAAGTTGGTGCTCTTAGAACACTGGTGGAAGCAGTAAGGAATATTTTCTTAAGCCAATGGCTTTTTCCAGGAAATAATCAAAATGCAATTTTGATTTGTCAGAATTTTGTGTTTATTTGGTTTTTTATCATTATTTAACCAAGTTGTCTCTCTCTGAGTTCAGAGACGCAGAGAAATGTGGAGCAAGGTTCACATCTGGCTCTGGTTACTTCTGTTCCATGGAGTCAAGAATACTGCCTTCTGCAGTACTGGCCAAAGCATGTCATCCGCGTGACCACCACGGAAATATGCTTACTTTAAGACAAAAAAAAACAGTGTCTTGAGAAGAGAAGAAACAGACTTAAAATTGTTCCAACAAGTGGCCACGATTTGTGGAGAATATGCTCATCAAAGTAACATTGCTGTTTATTATACCCATAGTGTATTCCTCTAATGCTCTAAAAATTGTCAGAAAATGACTTTTGTTGTCAGTTTGCAGATGAAAAAATTACACTTAGAAAACGAAGTCGCTCATGTAAATATGACAATGCCAGTACTGTCAGGGTCGTGGTGTAAATTCAAGGCTGCCCATCCCAGCAAGCCTTTTCCTTCTACTCTGAATCATAGGAGGGAGGCCTCACATCTCTGCCCTTCCCTCAGTGCCTCTCACCTCAATTAATCACAAAATTGAATGCACACAAAGAGATAAGCTCATTTATTTATTCACAAATCAACCTTATTTCCTGAAAGCCTACATGCCAAGAGTTTGCTAAAAAGAGGGGTTGGTGGTGGAACCAAATCCTTGCCATAGGATCCAAACCTGGGAACAGAAAGGGAATTTCCAGGCCACACACAGCGTAAATCCAGAGTCTTGCCCAAATGACAGGAATCAAGCTGCGAGAGAAAATCAGAGAAGACCTTCAGAACAAGAACCAGCCAAATCATTTTCACATTCTTCCTCCTAAAGATGCCCACAGATAGAAAGGCAGTGGTATAGTTGAAAATGTTGTGGTACTGGGAGACTAAGCTCAAGTTTCACTTTCACTGTAAAACCTAAATCTCAGAGCTCTGAACTATATTTTTCTTAAACACCAAGATTCTTTTGGATTTTGACCATAGACACATCATATAAATAACCCAAATAATACATAAATATTTTTTGCATACAGCAGTGTCCAAAACAATGTCAGTTTTGTTGTCTATTTTACAGAGAAAGAAATAGAGACTCAGAAAGTCATTTGCGGGGCTGGAGATTTAGCTCAGCGGCATAAGCGCCTGCCTTGCAAGCAGGCAGTCGTGAGTTCGATCCCTGGTACCAATAAAAACGAAAAAGACCAAAAAAAAAAAAAAAAAAGAAAGTCATTTGCTCAGGATCCTCATGTGGAAAGGCTAGAACAGAATTCCTGAACAAAATCAAATCTGTGCTCTGAGACCTAGAAAACAGCCTTGAAGGACCCGGAATCAGGGAATCAGACATTCTCTGCTTGGAGCAGGCAGTCCCCCTGACCGTGCACCTAGATCTCCAGAGGGTTGATGCTGAGCCAGGAAGATCGATAATCTGTAGCAGTCCTCTTCTTACCTTACTCAGGGGGAACGCAGGCTTTCCCACACATGCTCTTGCAGCACTTGAGGTTACCCTCACATTGGCTATCCTTCTCACAGAAATTGGGGGGATTAAGCATCAGACATTGAGCAATGACCACTGGGCACTTCCCAGGCTTCTTCCTTTCTGCAGAGAGCAGAGTCCCAGATCAGAGGCCTTAGACCTTAGACATCATTCCTCTGCTTCTTGGACCCAACCTCTGCACTATCTGAACAGGAAAGATCATCTCCTCCCCAGCTGCATCACCAACCCCTTTCCTAAAGCGTATCCCGAAATAACACCTGACTGCCGTCTAACACCCGTACCCTCATCAACACAGGTGATCAGGTGTCTAGAGCTAACTGGATCGTAGCTCCCAAGGGCCTGATTATTTGAATACCAAGATAGTTACCTGGGAGATAAATCTCCTGACATCTGGCTGCTTCAGCCAGGTGGCTACCTTTCTGGCTGGGCTCTTTGACTAGCTGACATATTGGGCTCAATAGCCCTTAAAAAGGAGGAGACGTGGCAGGAGCCTTCACCCAATCCCATTACCATAGATGCTGGGTAGCCAAGCTCAGTCCTTTACACTCAGGTCTTCCACCAACTCACCTGATTTTGAGATGACAACAGGATCCAGGCATTTGCGGTTACAAAAATCAGGGCAGCATCTTTTTTTCCCCGGACATTGCCAGTCACTGTTGCATTCAGGTCTCTCATACCTAACACACAGGACGTGATTTCTAGCAGGGCAGGCTCCAGCTTTTACACCTTCTGAGGAGAAGTTCAAGAAGTCAGAAAGGGGCTGGAGGCTAAATAGCCACCACGATTCTTGGACAAAGCACCTCTTTCCAGGAAGAGAACCTCACCCTGGGAACTGTCCAAAAAGTCCAAAGGAAAACATGCATTTGACTGCAAGAAAAGTGATAGATTAATTAAACCAGACATACCCAGGAGAAGTAACAGATCCAGTATCAAGACAGACAGCTGTTATTCAAGATCTTTCACTTTAGGGCAAAACAAAGTTACACTAAGACAAAAAAGGAAGCCTGACAGTGACAGAGATCAAGAGACATTAAATAAATGGAACTAGCACAGGAGATGTTGAAAACTAAAGCTGGGGTAAGAAACACAAAGACTAAAGGACAGAGAGCAATAAAGGAAAAGACAAGACTAATAACTGAAGAGTCACAAGTAAAGTCAGAGCAAAAGAGATTGCAGGAGAGAAAGAATAAGGAAGGAGAGAGTCCTGGGTTGAAGAGATGGCTGACAAAAGGAAGCATTTCCAGATACTCTGAAGTCCTGTAGATGTCTTGGAACCCACATGGACATGTATACCACCACAGGGAGGTCTCTTGACACCGAAGTGAGAAACAGAGCCTAGAGAAAGATACCTACTCATCCCACCAGGAGCACTCGCCTCTGGTGATTTCAACCAGGCCTGGGCCAGGGTGACTCCAACTTACTTTTTCCATAACCTTCTGCAGCCAAAGCTTCCAGAGCTCCCAGGGCCAGACACACCACAAAGAAGAGGAGGCTCTTGGACTGCATGGTGAAGGTGGGTGGTTCTGATGAACACTGTGAAATCTTACTATTTATGTCTTTACCAGTGGGTGTGGCCCCAAGAGAATGCTTTGGCTCCTCCCAAATGCTATTGCGTAGGCTGGAAGCTGACTTAGAAACCAGAAGTTCTTACACCAGACAGATAGTGGCCCTGGCCTTTTCCTGCTTCAGACAGGACTGTGAGGCCTGTAAAGTAACTACCAGAGGAGAGAGGGAACAAGTTGGCCTTGAAGAGGTGACCAGGCTGGTAAAGAAGGCCATTCCAGACATCTGAGTCCCAAACACTGCGCCTAGCTTTGTAGGTGGAGAAGATGTGAATGAATTCTGTTGCAAACATGCCACCTGGACCAGGAGCTGAAACCGGAGATGGGGACTCTCAGCTGTGACTGTGACTGTACAATACACCCTAATTCTCACATTCCCGGACTCTCTGGGATTGTGAAACTCCTGACTGATTGCTCAATGCAAGTTCCTTCTCCAAAGTGCAGATGACACATCACTCAATAGAGGTTTATTTTCTTGAAATATTTGCCCCGTTATATCCCCAGTGCCTGTTCTATGACCAAAATATGGAAACTACTCTCTAAACAAATGAAAGATGCACAAGGGTGAAGTTAATATGTTTGATCCCTGGTACCAAAATAATTAATATTACATTTAAATTTGTAGTAATTTAAGTTAAATAGTATATAGTAATTAAATATATAATATATTAATTAAATTATTAATAATCTCAAAGAAAGCTCTTCAGGAAAGAGCCCTGCCCTCAGCAAATCTCTTTGGAACTGTTTCCCCAGACATCAAATGGAATGATATTAACAGTTAGCCCATCTCAGAAGTTATGAGATTAAGAGTATGAAAGGATTCTGAAAAGAATAATGAATCATATCTCATGTCACCGAAGACAGTTGAGATGAATCAGAGGTAAAGGACTAAAAGCCACTGACCAGTCATTGTAATCAACATTTAGATACGAGACAATCTGAAATGTGGAAGGAATGATTTCTGCCTCCCCAAATTCCCTACAGATCTTAAGAGATAGCAAAAATTTTTGGCTGCTCTATATTAAGCTGATTCTGTGCACCTTCTAGGCTACCTAGATTGCTTTTAATTCTTTTTCATTTTCCAAGTTAATTTTATTTCTAAGAAAAAAAAACAAAAGAAAACAGTTTCAAAACACAACAATCAGGGGACAACAAGGGTACATACACTGAACGCCACCATCCCCAAACCAATCATCTAGAGCACAAAGTATCTGCATTCAATTGTTTGAAAGATACCAGCATGAACCTTTCTTTTTGATGCACTCAGAGAAATCAGTAGTATAAATAGCTTAACTATAATATATATGCACATGTATTGTTCTTGCAGCTTCTCAGACTAGTAACACAATATATTTATCCATACCTGTCTGATTTACTTCACTTGTGATTATAGACTCAAATTGCATTCATTTACTTATAAAATTCTCAAATTTGTCTTTCTGTATGGCTGAGTAGTACTCCATTATATAAAAGTACCACATCTCTTTTATCCATTCCTCAGTCAGCGGACATTTAGGTTGTTTCCAAGATCTAGCTATCATAAACGGTGAAGCTCTGAGCATGGGTGCATAGATACCACTGTGGTATGATGTTTTTAATTCTGGGAAGATATCCAAAAGGGCAATTGGTTATTGTGTTTGAATAGGAGCTCCAATTCTAGTTTTTTGAGGAAACTCCACATTGATTTCCACAGTGGTTGCACCAGTCTACACTCTCACCAACAGTGGAGGAGGGTTCCTTTTTCCCTGCAGGCCTTCCATAATTTGTTTTTGGTTGATTTCTTGAGAATAGTCATTATTTTTGGAGTGAGGAGGAATCTCAGTGTTGTTTCAATTTGCATCTCTCAAATGACCAGTGATGCTGAACACTTTTTCATATATTTATTTGCTGTTTGTATTTCTTCATCTGAGAAGTGTGTATTCATTTCAGATGCTCATGATTTTTTTAGTTCTTTATATATTCTTGATAAGTAATCCCTTGCCTGAAGAATAGCTGGCAAACATTTTCTCCCCTATGGTGGGTGTCTCTTTACTCTGTTAGTGGTTTTTCTTGCTATGCAAAAAGCTTTTCAATAAGATGAGATCCCAGTTGTTGATTTTTAAAAAATTTTTATTTAAGGAGAAAAAGAAAAAAAACACAAAAGGGGTACAAGTTATACAGAATTTCAGAAAAAATGAACAGTAGGAAATCACTAGTTAATAGATTACATATTGTCATCTTAGAAATAGTTGTTCAAGTTACAAAATAAAAGCACATAAAGTGGACAGTGAGACTGCAAACAGTTCTGTTAAATGATCCTACAAAACTCAGTAATATGGTTATCTATCTTATACACTTAAATATACATGCAGTTATATCCTTTAGAGCACTTTCTTTTCCTCTCTTTTGTACAGTGACAATTACACATTTTGGGTTTTATTACTCCCACAGTTCTTATTAGTTTTTTTTTTGAAGAGAATAAAACCAAATGTGACATAACAAACCAGAGTCAGTCAAATCAAAAGGATGGCCATAATACATAATGTAAATCATGTGATCAACAATGGTTACCATAATGCCTCTTGCTATCTTAAAAAGAATTGCCTATATCATCAGGTATAATAAAATTTAACAAAACAGTAAAGAACAAAACCAATAAAACCAAAACATTGGAGACATTACCTGACTTCAAAAGAAGATAATAGTCAAACCAGAATAGGCGTCATAGTGAATCTTATTGTCTTCACAGTTGTTGCCTGTACTCTCAAACTTGGTACTATCAAGCAAAAGAGAATAGAGGAAAATCAGTCAAAACAAGATGGTGAGAGCAATTCAGGGTTTCAAATCAAGTTAATAGGAAATCAAAGTGGGTTACTATAATATATCCTGCTATTTTAAAAATATTTTCCCCTTAATTAAAAAGATAAAAGTAAATAATAAAAAAGGAGATTGAGATAAAAGTGGACATAACAGCACAGGTCAAAACATAACCACTTAAGCAAAATAGTGTTTCACCACAAGACATCCCAATATAAAAGTAGTTACCATAGTGTCTCTTTCCTTGAAATCTTTGAGTATAACTTCGTATACTGTAGCATCAAACATATCAAGACAAGGTAAAACCATTCAAGAGAATGACAGTATTACAGGGTATTTAGAACCAACTAACAGAAAATGAACAATGGTTTCTGTATAATCTCCTTGTCTATAAAAGTTTTTGTTTATATTATCACATATAATAAAATCCAATGAGATACAACCTGTTAAGACCAATGGAGACAGAAGAACAAAAGCTTGATGGGACTTCAAAACTAGATGATATTAAATCAGCACTAGCTATTATGATGTCTTATTTTCTCCAAAATGGCTGTTCCTACCATCCAACCTTCTCTGCATCATTTTTGTTGAGCTCTTTTTCTGTCATTAGTTGTTAGTTTGTCTTCTTCATTTTGCTTTCTGCTCCATTCATTGTGGTCTCTCTGCCACTGTTTCTGGAATCTTGGAATTTTTCTTTTTTCTTTTTTTCTTGGCATTTTTCTCTGCAGTATTCTCTGCAGAGTTGAATTGGTGGTTGCAAATTCCCCTAGTTTCTCTTTATCCTGGAAGCACCTTGTTTTTCCATCAATATCTAGGGAGAGTTGTGCAGGATATATCAATCTTGGCTGGAGGTTATTGTCTTTCAAAGCTTGAATTATTTCCCCCCACACTCTTTGTGATTTGATGGTTTGTGCTGAGAAGTCTGCTGTAATTCTGATGGGTGTTCCCTTGTAAGTGATCAGTTTCTTGTCTCTGATGGCTTTTAATATTCTGTTCTTATATTGTATTTCTGGAATTTTGATTATTATAGGCCTGGGTGTAGCTCTGTTTGGGTTGTAGGTGGCTGGGGTCCTATATGCCTCATACATCTGAGTATCTTTAACTTTTGCTAAATTAGGGAAATTCTCCTGGATTATTTCTGTGAATAGCCTTTGTAGTTCATTTGTTTGTGTTCCTACTTCTTCCTTTACATTCTTAATTCTTACATTATCGATCCTCTTATCATCTTCAAGCCTTTGTATTATTGCTGTTGGTTTCCTTGTTATTTTTAAGAAGTTTTTCATTTCATGCTCCCACCTTACAAACCTGCCCTCCAGTTCAGATAATCTATCCTTAGTTTCTTTCAAGTTGTCATGCCAGCTTTCAATAGAGTTTTTAGTTTCCTGGTAATCTCTTTGAACCTGCTTCATGTATTCTATGTTTTCTCTATTTTCTCCATCAAACAATTCTCCTCTTTTTTTTTTTCTGTTCTTCCATTCCACCATCTGTTTTTTTCTTGAGTGGTGCTTAGCATTTCTCTAACTATTCTACTTATATCTTGCTTTACTTCGTTAAATACTTCACTTTTGAAGTAATCTATGAGGCTCTGGAGATATCACTTTATGTCTATTGGTGCCGTGTCTGATATTGCATATTTTCTGTCCTCATTCTCCTTTGCATTTACCTTTCCTGGATCAGTGTTCTCAGGATTGGGGGCCGACGACCCTTTCTTGTTGCCTTCTCTTCTCATATTTTTTGTTCCTTCCATACAGGCTTATATAGGAGGCCCAGTTTCTTTCTTTGTGGGTTACAGTTTGTTTGAATCCGCCGGTCAAGTGTTCCCGCCCACTGCAGTGTACTAGGGAGAGACAGACCGGGGCTGCATATGTTCGGCCTGCCCCTCCAGATCCACCCACTGAAGGCTTCACTGCTAGGGTGCACCGCCAGGCACTGGGACCTGGTTTGGGCTAGCCTACTGGGTCTTAGTCAGTGGCATCATCCAGGCCAAATGCTCTGCACTAATCCCACTTGAGAGGGGAATTTGTGAGTAAAGTCCCTGCAGCGTCCTGTTCCGGATAGTCTGCCCGGTTCCAGAATGTACTCTGTTGGAGCCTCCTAGTTTATGGAAGGGTTCCTGTTCTTTTCACTCACTGCAGGTCAATGCAGGGCTCCCCGCCAGTCCCACTCTCAACTCATTCACTGATTCCTACTCT